ATATAGTAATCGGCTGGGTCCAAGGGAGGGTTTACAGCAGAACTCCACCCATACAATCTAAAATGAACGAAAAGAGAAAATAACAAAATGTCAGCTTTTGCTGCAATATTCACTTTCAATGCAGAGATTTCCCTGCAGTACTATTTTCTACCACTAGATGTCCTCAGTCTGATTGTCAATATTGCTCAACCCACTTCCTCTGAGATCAGATTGTCCTGGACCCGCCCTCAGCCTGTGATTGGACAGTGAAAGAAGCAGCAGCAGCACAGTGATGAGCTCATCTCCCAGTCACTCTGCTCTCTTTTCCTATCAGCACGCTTCATGTCAGAGCAGGCACTGATTGGCTCATTGTGCTGCTTCTTTCTTTCACACTTCAGCCCTGCTGTACAGGGACTGCAAGAGGCTGATATCAGGTGAAATTCAGCTACTTACATTAAAAAAAAACGACATTTAATGATGTATTTCTGATTACAGAGCTGGCTTTCTTATCTTGCTGGAGTCCAGCCTAGTACTGAAAATACATAGGCTGGCATTGCGGAGATCTCTTCCTGAAAATGCTATGGCTTGGATACTTTCTGAGACCGGGAACGATTATTCGGGACTTTACTATCTTTGCTTGTTCCAGGTCAGTGGTTTAGAAAGTAGGAAGGAGTTAACTTTTTGGTTTTCCACTTCTCTCTGTGACTTCATTGGGGAGATCTCCCTTCACTTCCTGTCTCTGTGACACCCATGCAAGGAATAAGGGGCATGGCTGTCACCACGACAGGAAGGCTTTAAAACATTGTCAGAATCTAGCCTTTTCATCCCCAGCCTGACTGTCCCTGAGCTGCCCCTTTCATTCATTGGATATCACTTCTCTCAATCATGGAGGCTCAGCATCACATGGGGGTGTTACCTAGAGTGATCTGCATGCAAATACATCCTGCCCACTACTCCAGACTGATATCCACCCATCAACGCATTTTACTCATCCCAATAGCCAACCCACTGCTTGCATCAGGCTCTTGAGAGGACTACTGAAACAGGGGGCTGTGTTGTTTTCAGAAAAATATGGACAGCCCCCTGCTGGCCCCTCCCACCAGCCATGACCTGCCAGCATTGTATAGAGAAGCACAAAGACCCAGAGATGATGTCACCATGCACATCAAACCAACCCATCTCCACATACATACACCAGACCCTTTGTGTACTCACCCGTCATTGTTGAAGTCAGCCAAGGCAATAACACTGCCGAAGTAGGAGCCCACCTGATCCCCATTCAGGGTCTGTCTGAGTATCATAGTCGGCGCCTCGATGTCAGAAATGTACACAGCGCCCTTATGCTGCCAGCGGGGGGCCCCGGAGAGCACAGTGACCAGATCCTCATGCAGCACTCCGGTGCCAAGCTTTACTGTGTATCCTGTAGAGGGGAATGAAAGGGGAGCTGTGGTCACAAACTAGAAATACATTGAATTTCTGTATGTCCGAGCCCCCTTCTAATATCCAGATCCACCTAGAAGTGACACATTGAAGATGTCCATAGGATGGACTTCCTCTATGCAGTGACACCATTTCACTTCCTGGTGTCACCACTCTCACAGTTCCTGCCTTCTGAACTACAACTCAATGTCTGAGCAATGCACCACTGCTTGCTGGAAGCAATGTATGATGGGATATGTAGTCATGAGAAATAGAGATCACATCACATCAAGAAGCAGGGAAAGAGAAGCAAAGCACACTGGGAGTCCAGGAAGTTGGTGAAAGTGATGGGCAGATGGAAGGCAGCACTCAGTATATAAAAAGGGATTTTTTCAAGTAAGCTTTGATTTCATTATAAACAACAACTCTAGTATACACTCCCCACCTGGACTACAAAACACCTCCCTTCTCTCATCATAACACAAGGGGATGTGTTCTGCCTATTTGTCTCTGCTGGACTATAAAACACCCCCCCCCTTATGAGAGAGAAGGGAGGTGTTTTGTATGCCACAAGGGGAGATGTTGACTAGCCGACAACACTGCATGAGACTTCAGTGCTGCAGAGGCAGCGTTGTCACCACACTAAAGGAAGCTAGTGGCACAATAGCTTTCTGTTATTTAAAGGAATAAAACATGAAGAAATGTGAATGTGGCGCCGCGATGTGCTGGATAGGTTTATTTTCTTCTATGTTGCCCTCGGAGATGCTCTAGCTCTCATTAAGCCCCTTTTTCTCTGGGTTGTGTCCTGACATAAGAAGTCATCAGCTTTTAATAAAAGTGCTCGGGACAGTCGTGCGACGGGCGAATAAGCTGCGGTTTGTGCTCCTGGGTCATGTGACCGCGCACCGGCTATACACAAAGTCTGCTATTGTCATTTGCCGAATGCGTCTGTCTGCGCTCCCTGTCTGGCTCTCCTCACATCCACGTGCTGCTCAGTTTGTTTTGCGATTACCGGCTGGTTTTTGTGGTTTCTCTGCTCCATTTGCTCTGCAAAGCCGATCTCAAATCCCACATGGAATCGGCGCGTTTAAAGCCGAACTCCGGGGGAAAGGAAGAACCGTGCAAGGGCACTGCAAGGGTTAAATTCTCATTTTGTGTCTGGTACTAGTAATAAGGACTTTCATTGGTCCTCCAGCAATTGTGGAACTACAAATCCCATGAGGCATTGCAAGACTCTCACAGCCACAGACATGACTCCCAAAGACAGAGGCACCCCGAGATTTGTAGTTTCACCACAGCTGGAGTTTGCCCACCCCTGGCCTAATCCCTCCCTCCACACTATACAACCACCTTCCACCCCACCCTCCTTCAGGAAGCCTCCTCTCTCCGAAAGTGGTCCATCGGTCTCGGGCACTCTGATGTCATCCAGTACAACGCAGGGTCAATAGTTCAGCATTGCATGAGAGGACGCCGTGGGACCGCCCACAATCCGCGTCGGTTGCCAGGGGAGCGAAGGAAAAAGGTAAGTAAAAGTCCTTTTTTCCTGGTATTCTAACCAAAAAACTGAATTTAACCCTTGCAGTG